TTTAATATTAATCTTATGAGCTTCTGCCCACGAGAAAACAGCAGACTTCATGAACATGATGTACTGTAATATGCTCATCCCAATCAGAGATAAACCAAGTAGGATTACCATTGACACTACTACACTGATAGATAATATATTCTCCAGTAAAATTGAAGTTAAAACAATTGGAGGACTCCTGATTAGTGACATAAGTGATCACCTTCCAGTTTTTGCAGTTTTTCAGAACTGTAATGAACTGAATTATGATTCCAAATCAAAATCATACAAATTCATAAGACGATTAACACCCCAGTCTTTAAATAATTTTAAGGAGGACTTAAACAAACTTAGCTGGAATGATGTGTACAATCAGACTGATCCCAATGATGCTTATGAAACCTTCTTGTGTAAATATATCAAACTATATGAAAAAAACTGCCCATTGCAAAAAGTAAATGAAAATCTAAACTGTGTTAAAAAGCCTTGGATAACGAAAGGACTAGAAAATGCATGCAAGAAAAAAAATTACTATATAAAAGATTTATCCAACTCAGAACAAAGAAATCTGAAATTAAATATAAAAAGTATAAAAATAAATTGATAAGCATCCTGAGAAGTTGTAAAAAGAACTACTTTCACAAATTACTTCAAGAGCAAAGGGAAAATATAAAAGGAACATGGAAAGTGATAAACAGTATTATGGAAATAAGAGACAAGAAACATGATATCCCAAACCACTTTACACATAATAATACCAGACTCCAAACTATAAAAGAGACTGTAGATGGGTTCAATCAGTATTTTGTTAATGTGGGTAATAACTTGGCAAAATCTATAGAAATGCACAGGAACTCTCTTCCATGTAACACAGTCTGTAGAAATCCAAACTCCTTCTATATGAATCCTATAAATGAAAATGAGATAGTTAAAATAGTAAAACAATTCAAACCAAAAACATCCAAAGATGCAGCTGGCCTAGACATGAACCTAATCAAGAAAACAACAGAGCTCACAGCAGATCCACTGACACATATATGTAATCAGTCATTTAAAATGGGCAAATTTCCAGATAAAATGAAAATAGCAAGAGTGTTTCCAGTATACAAAAATGGGGAAAAAATATATATTTTCAAACTATAGACCAATTTCAATACTCTCTCAATTCTCAAAAATAATAGAAAAAATATTTGTTCATCGATTAGATAAATTCATAGAAAAATATGAGCTCTTAAGTGACCATCAATATGGATTCAGGAAAAATCGTTCCACCTCAATGGCTGTTATGGAATTGGTAGAAAATGTATCTACAGCAATTGATTCAAAGAAATACAGTGTGGGTATCTTTATTGACCTTAAGAAGGCTTTTGATACCCTCGATCATAATATATTATTGCAAAAATTAGAAAGATATGGAGTGCGAGGACCTGTGCATGCCTGGTTACAAAGCTATCTACAAAACCAATACCAGTATGTTGAAATAAATAATAAAAAATCTGTATTGTTGAAAGTAAATTGTGGAATTCCACAGGGCTCGACGCTTGGGCCAAAACTATTTATTATGTATATAAATGATTTATGTTCGGCATCAAAAATGTTCAATGATGTGCTCTTCGCAGATGATACCAGCCTCTACTGCTCAGGTGAAGACCAAAGGCAGCTTTTTCAAATGGTGGAGAGGGAGCTGCAGAAAATTAAAGTTTGGTTTGATATTAATGAATTATCGCTAAACATAGAAAAAACTAAATTTATGATATTTGCAAAGCGAAAAGTACAAAATCATGTACAAATTATGCTCAATAATACACCACTTGAAAGAGTCTTTCAAAATAAATTTTTAGGAGTAACCATAGATCATAATTTAAACTGGAAATCACACATAAATACAATTAGGAACAAATTATCCAAAGTGATCGCAATTATATATAAATATAGATATACCCTAGATAAAAACAGTATTTTTATTATATATAACTCGCTGGTAATGCCCTACATAACCTACGGTATTGAGATTTTGGGGCAATACATATAAGATGAATACAAAGCCAATCTTTACCCTACAAAAAAAGGCAATAAGACTTAACAACTTATAACGAACCAACCAATGCATTATTTATAAACCTTCAAACGCTGAAATTTTATGATTTAGTCGACCTTTACACTCTTAAAATCATGTTCAAAGTAAACAACAATCTCCTGTTGAAATCGTTACAGAACATGTTCAAAATCCAAAAGAGCCGATATGAGCTCAGAGGCACGACCATGTTTATTAAAAAGAAAATCAGAACAAACATTATGAAATTGTGTAAATCTGTTAAAGGGGTGGAGCTCTGGAACAACTGTACAGAAAACCTCAAATTGTGCACCACTTTCTTTCACTTCATAAAGAAGTTTAAATGTTTAACTCTGGACAGATACATGAAATATGAGACTTAGTTTGTGCTGTAGTACTTTGTTGTTCTGTTATTGATTAGCTTGTTTCTTCCTGCTGTATTTATGAAGATGAACTGGTGTCAAGATGAAGCTCTGACAAAGGAATAAAGGGAAGGCATAATAAGCTTAAGCTTCAGCCTGCACCTTTTCGGTCTGTATATGTTAAATATGACTGTTTATGAATTAATGTCAAAATATACCTGTGACCGAAATAAATAAATAAATAAATAATATTCCTGTTGTGAATAAGAGGGGGTCGTTACACGTCTGTGGGACATTACCTGTAATATTTAGATCATCATGTTTCCTTTTATTGTTTTGAAAATGTGATATTTGCCCAAAACAACGTATTAACATGTTTTTATAAGTGTTTCCCCTCCCTTTGCTCTCTCTGCTAAATCACTCCCCCTTCAGAGTGTTATCACATTTAAATCAGCATGCATTTCACTAATGAAACTTCTGCACATCACATCAGGTTTGTGAAGCTGTAGTGTGCAGTATCATGCTTTTGTATGTAAAATTGTTGTGTTGGGGCATAGGTGATGTAGAATTATGAGCGGAGCTTTGGACAGAGTCTTACAGCTAACCATAAGGAGGGTTTGAATAGGACCTAAGAGAGATCACTAGATTGGCCAAACATGCATGGATAACATCTAAACCCTTCAGGCTTCATGGTTTTGATGAGGGAACAATGTCAGAACATGGGAGAAAACTCTGAAAAGTCTGTTTTACATAATACTCCTTCTTTAAAGAAAATGAGCTTGTTATATTTTAAAGTTGTGTTGTGTTTTAAAGACTGTGGATTTTTAAGGGGACATCCTCAACCAAGCTGTGTCTCCATTCAGGTCCAGGGACAGGAGTCTGACAATGTTCAGTAGTGTAGTGGAGCTGTCCACTCAGCATCTCTCTTCACATGACTCGGGTTTTCAAAGTAACTTCTCGTGCAAAATATTTCAGAAGATGCTAACGTCCAGCGCTGTGGTCATGCTGCTCCCGTTAGAGCCTGATCTTATTAGACCCTCCTGGACTTTACAAGAACCACTCTGCCTCTGCTCACAGCCCAGCCCAGAGTCTCTGCTCTGGGGACTCTCCTGGAGACTAGAGCTGGTGCTGATTTCCTTAACGCTCTCTTACTTGTTGGAGTAAAAATGGAGGAACAGAAATGCAGAGTTGGTGAGAATAATTTTTTTATTATTCATTTATTTATTTATTTGTTTGTATATATTTAAATAAATATTTTAAAGAAGGGGTATTATGCAAAATTGACTTTTTGGAGTTTTCTAATAACATTGTTCCATCATGAAAACCATGCCTGAAGAGGATTTAGAGTAATCTCTCCTGGGCTCTACACGCACCCTCCTCGCGGTCATGATACCCCACAGAAGTGTACTAGGTCTTCTTTAAGTATCTCTTTGCTCGCGTCTTGGTAATTGGCCATGTTATTTTTACTTCAGCTTCTTTAGCCAGTGCCCATGTCCTGTCTAAAGATGGTCATTCACCTGACTGTCTCTAAAGTCAGGTTTACAGTTTCATTTTGGCTCACCACAGACTCGTCTGAACGAGCTTAGTTACCATGGAAACTTATCCTGCAGCTCAGCCTGGAGGTGTACAAGAAATATTGGAACTTAGTCTTGGATATTTTAAAGGGGACACATCATACTTTGAAGTGACTTTTAAAATACTCTTTGTCACATTATATTGTGTTTTCTTTCTTTATATCTGCGTATAGCACCACCTTGTGGTTCAAATATGGACACTACTTGTAGTTTGGATTAAAGTGCAAATGACAGTTTTTGCTGATTTGCTGATTACTTACTTTGATGGAATTAAACCTGTTGTAATGATATGATAAATGATAGTTTTACACCAATCAAGATGCAATTTGCAAAGAAGTTAAAAATATATTTAATGTAAAATATGTGGGAAATGACAGGAAGTTGAGAGTTCTGTTTTCGAAACATCCACACTGATGACATCACACTGTGACAATTCTGTCCAAAAGTTTAGAAACAATTTACACAAGAAACACATTGATCTGATAATTTTAAATTTAATTTCAACAAAATAAAGAAATTTTCTTATAGTTTTATTCATGAAATATGAATTTCTGTGACATTAGAGGAGTTTTGGTGCAGTATGGTGCTTTTATGGAATTCTCCAGCATGATGTCATCATTTCATCATTTCCAATCAGGAACTAAAACCTAATAAATAGCTAAATTGGGGAAAGAAAAGTAAATTTTGTGTAAAATCTTAAATATAATGATTTTAACTCTGTTTTAGTCACATGAGTTGTCCAACCTGTTATGTTCACTTTAACAGAATAGTAGATTTAAGCAACAGAAAATGAAACAGTGACAGTAACAGGCAGATGCACCAACATGAACTGTCCCAGAGCTTATTTGATTTGCAGGTTTAGTTTGTTTTCCTCCCTGGTGGTTTGGACTGCTCAGCGGTCTTCCTCAGAGTGGTCATGTGATTTTGATGTGACATGTCTGCTCAGCTCATTTCAAAGGCTTTTGGTGCTGTCTTCATACATTTCCCTGACAAACACTGATTTTAAAATGTGAGGATATATGTAAGGTCTTGGTTGGATTTACACTTTGCAGTTTGAGCACTTGTTCCTTGTTGATATGCTGTAGTGGACAGAACAAAGAGGTTTCCCACAGAGCTTTGGTTAGATGTCTGCGCCCTCTGCTGGTAACTATGAACTGTTTTGTTCACATTACGTCCTCCTGTGTCCCTGTACTGTCTGCAGTGTTGGGGAGTAATAGATTACATGTTATGTAATCAGAGTACAAATTATGAGTAACTGTATTCGGTTACAGTTACTGTTTCAATTGTTGAAATAAATGGATTACATGGTGGTATTTTCCTCTTCACATTTTGGACTAAACCAGAACTAAAACCAAGACTAAACCAGAACGAAAACCAGGTCTAAACTAGGACTAAAACCAGGACTGAAACCAGGTCTAAACCAGGACTAAAAGCAGGACTTAAACCAGGAATAAACCAGGTCTAAACATTATGACACTAACAGTACGTGGACATACTTTAAGGCAGCAGTGATCTCATATAAAATCATTTCTCTATCAATAATATTTTTTATGCGGTTCAGGAAAGACTGGACTTTTTATTTTCTTTTAGCAGACAAAAGTCTTAGGTTAAGATCCTCGTCTTTGCTGTTCTACAGCAAACAATAGAATTTTCAGGATGTGGTTGCTACATTCATGTAGTTTTAAAAAGCAAGACAATATCAAGTAATCCAAAGTAATCAAATTACATTACTCACTTTAAGTAATTTAATGGATTCTGTTACAAACTACATTTTGGGGTATGTAATCTGTAATCTGTATTGGAATACATTTTAAAAGTAACCTTCCCAACACTGACTGTTTGACATGGAGACAGGTTAAATGTTTGGAGTGATGCAGATGATGTGGTGTGTCAGATGCCCTTCCAGATGTTGTTGATGTTGTCACTGATAGAAATGATCACGGGAAACGTTTGTGTGTTTGTGTTTGACAAATGCCAAGGATACAGAAATTGACTCTTGTGAGCTTCAATATGTGTTAGAAACAGACCTGGAGTTGTGATTTGTTTCATTCATGCGTGTTTTAGTCTATCTACATCTAAAAAGCTCAAAATGCTCTATTCCACCTTGTGATGTTGTGAAGTTTCCAGGGTAACAGCTCCTTTTACCTTTAGATATTGGCAATACCAGGCTCAAAGTTCAAAGTCCAAATGATTCTGGTGAAAGGGTATGAAATTTACAATACATATTACCACATGACATCACAAGGTGGAACAGAGTGTTTTCTGTTTGAGAGAAGAAATAAATATGTAGAGTTTGTGTGCTAATCATGTGAATGAAACAAAACACAACCCCAGGTCTGTTTGTGATGAGGAAACGACATTAGAACAGAAAATAGAGATCAGAAAATAGCCCTTTAAATAGTTCCTCACTTTGAGAACTACAAATTTGGACCTTTCCTGAACAGTTGATGAGGTCAGAAGTTGACTAAAAGATGATATTAGACATTGTTATTTGATTCTTAGATAATTAATGTGGCATCAAAACATAGAATGAGCACAGAGAGTTGTTTTTTTCCCCTATAATATTGAAATGGAGTTGTTTTTGTGATGACTCTGGTGTCTGCTGTCATGTGCTTCTCCTCCTCTGACCTGCAGTAACCCACATGGAGCCGCCGCACTGCCCCCTGCTGTCAGAGGAAAGGAAAGAGGAAATGTGTGCTTTTAGAGGACGTCATGTTTCTGAGCTAAATATAACGTTGGCACGAGTTCTGAATGAATCACATTGAGCTGCTGTGTCTTTGTGAGAGGAAACCCTGCAGCTGTACAGACGTCATGATGAGTGAAATCCTTTTACACTCTCTCCACCACACAGATAACAAAACTATTTGACTTCAGATAACTATAATGTTACTGTGTGACCTAATAAATAAATGGGGACTTTTACTCTGGATGCCCTCCCTGATGCAACAGAGTAGTAATAACGTACAAAAGACCGAGGCATAGCATGCACACAACACAACAGTACTTCTGCTGTTCCTATTCATAGTATATATTCAGTATATACATATTCAGTGATCACAGTGTTTACACAAAATGAATATTGTAATGATGCTTATGTCCAACTAAACTCAAAGTAAAGTACACTTTCAGATTATTTCTTGACCTGCTGGTCAATGCTCGATCTTGCTGGATCTAAGTAGATAAACCGAGCTGGGCCTAGGCTGTTCTTGGATGGGGGATCGTTGAATTGCTGAGTATGAATGTGGACAATATACAAATTCCACACAGACAGCTCTTGCGCTGACCTAGAATCAAACCCTGGACCTTTTTGGTTTGAGGTAAGATTATTGACCCCTGTGCCACTTCTTTCTGCCCCAGGGCAATTTTTCCTGAGAACCACATCCTCAGATTTGGAGGAGCTTCCGCTCCCATCTGCTTCACACTCAGCCTCAAACACGCCCCTGCAGGTCCTGGTTCGATGAAGTTATCAGAACAACATCATCTGCAAATGGCACAGATGAGATCCTGTCGTCCCCAAACCAGACCCTGACTGCACCTAGAAAATCTGTTCATAAAAGCAATGAACAGAACTAGTGACAAAGGGCAGCCCTGGCAGAGTCCCACATGCACAGGAACAGGTCTGACTTAGCAATGCAAACACAGCTCCTGCTCCATACAGGGACATGATCCAATACCTTCTCCAGATCCACAAAGCACATGTGGACTGGTTGAGCAAACCCCAGGCCTGGTTCCAGGGTGGAGCCCTGGATGCACTACAGCAGGTGACGACATGGTCCTTGATTTCCTTCTGTCCTAAGGAGTATGGAGAACTGGAAAGACACTATTTAAAAATCCAGTGCATGCATTTTTTATCACTTGTGTGAAATATAGGTAAATAACAGCACAGTGAAAATCCAGAGTGTCTAAGAGAAGAAAACACAAACCTGTGTTTCTCAACACGTGTGATGTTGTGTGTGATGTTATTGATGTTGTGTGTGATGTTGTTGATGTTGTGTGTGATGTTATTGATGTTGTGTGTGATGTTATGTGTACAGATGAGTCAGGGGACGAGGAGCAGGCATCTCAGTCGGACCAGGCCGAGGTGCAGGGGACCCTGAAGCTCTTGGGCAGTAAACTTGAGGACCTGAGCACCTGTAACGAGCTCATCGCTAAACACGGGGCTGCACTGCAGAGGTCTCTCACTGAACTGGAGGCTCTTAGGGGCCCACTGGAGGGCTCCGAGAAGATCAAGGCCGTCAACGAGAGGGCCACACTCTTCCGCATCACCTCCAATGCTATGATCAATGTAAGTATCAGGAATCATTTATCTATAACTCTATAACAATATGAGTACTATAACTCTGTAACTAATATGAGTACTATAACTCTATGACCAGTATGTACTATAGCTCTATGATTAATCAGTACTTGTACACTCACAGAGAACACCAAGTGCTAAACAACTGTCTTTGCCATAAAACCTGTGAGATCTCTGTCCCCATCTACAGCAGCTCAAAGAGCCCAACACGTCCCAGCACATGTCTAGTATTTTCCTGTCTGTTTCTTACGTCGTGCAGTTGAACACCTCTCATGCTGTTACATGCAGCAGGTATCAGAGTACAGACTTCTCCACATGTTACTGGGATCTGAGAGAATCTGGGAGTTATATATTATATATATTATATATTGTATTTGTACTCCAGGTGTGCAAGAGTAAAAGTAGTGAGTGTGAGTACTTAATACTGCACACAGAAGTCACCAACACAAAACTACAGTCACTCCAGTGTGACTCTGTGACACCAGGCGGTCATCCATGAAGTTTTAGTCAGTGTTCATAAATCTTCATTAGAATCAATCTGACAAGGAACTGACCAGAACAAGCCCGGTGAAGAGAAAGAGGACACGGAGAGAGAAAGATTATAGAGTATTAAGACTTCATAATATCCACAAATGAAAATAAAATACAATTCCAGTGCTGTTTTTTTGAGGGTCCAACATCATGACCTGGTATGGGTAAAATATACATTCTTAAATGAGTTTAACAGCTAATTGTGAAATACAGTTCTCAATCTTTTTTGTGTATGTGTGTCTTGAATCCTCCCTGATTTATATACTGCATTATATCACACTCCAAGTACCCTCGAAGCCCTTAAATCTTAAATCTTAAATCACTACAATACTAGATTATTGTAATGTTTAGTACATAAAATTTAAAGTAATTTAGTTAAATTTTACTTTAAAATTGAAAACCATTCCAAAGAGCTCATGTTTAGTCCCTGGCTGGGAAACACAGAACTAGAACTTACCTGTGGAGCCCAACAGTGAACCCAAAATAAAATGTATATGAAAAGTTTGAAAGCTCATGACTAATCAGGTCTTTGGTGACCACGTAGCTGGTTAGTCTGCAATGTCTTAAAACTTTTTTTTTTTTTTTTTCAAATCTATGAGAAACAAATGAGTGGAGAATTGAACCGTAGAACTGGAGAGACGGTCACTGTTGAGCTCCATTTAATACAGATTTTAGCTTCATAAAGAAAAATGCTTCAGACAGTTCAGGCCTTTTTCATTCCTTCATATATTATCATTTAGACAGGCTTTGAGACGTGTCTTTTCCAGTGCCGTCCACTGCCGGGCCCCTTGTACCAGCCCCAGCGTGCCCCCCCTCTGTTCCCCCCTGTCCACGGGCATGTCTCAGGTCTCACCCAGGGCAGAGTGAGAGGGTTCACACGGACATGCGATCTGACAGTGGATCTGACAGCAGACAGGAATAGCCCTACCCCGACCACCACCACCCCCACCCTGCCCCTCACCCCCTCCCACACACCCATCTGCACCCCCTCCCCTCCTCCCTGTCTGTACTGAGTTGCGACCCAGCCCTGTGCTCCTCACTTCGCTCCTGCACAGTGACACAGTGAGCACGGATACACAGGAGCTGACTGGACGCTCTGTGAGTGAGGATTCCCCATAGAGCCCCCCCTCCCCGACAGCAGGTAGGGCCACACGGGTGCTGCATGACCACTGCTCTGTCCAGACTCTGACCACTACAGCAGGGAGAGCTGCTATTGCTGTTCCCTCATACAAAACATGGACACAAAAGGAAATGCGAGTGTGTCATGTTTGTTTATTGACACCTGATTCATGAATTCTGTTTAATAGGTCATGTTGTCTGAGCCTCAGAAATCACTCTGCTTTAATTGTCCCTAGATTGTTATGTCACAGATCAGAAAGCCCAAAGTCTCCTGTCAGATTTGAATCCATGAACCATCAGCGTACTTGTTCTGAGCATTTCTGTGGTTAAACTGGCTTCACAACAAACACATGTCCCAGATTTCCAGCTGTTTGAAGTGAGATTTGATCTGAAATACTGTTTCTGGAAATCGGGCCGGTGTAGAAGAGAGTAGATTTACTAAGAATCCAGTGTACACCAAGAGTAAAAACCTGTTCATCCGGTGAGTTGCTCCTGCCTGATCCTGCCTACCCCTGTCTGCTCCTGTCTACTCATGTATGCTCCTGTCTACTCCTGTCTGCAACTGTCTTCAGAGCTGTGTCCTGGGGGAAAGGCTGTGGGCTGTGAGGGGTTAATGAACCAAGAGAGTTCTAGAACAGAGCAGGAGCCTCATATTAGATGGTTTCACATGTGGAGTGTGTAATGTGGAGTGTGTAGTGTGGTGTAGTGTGTAGTGTGGTGTAGTGTGCACTGGGTTTGTTTGGGGCCAGTAATTGTCCAGTTCTGGCAAGGGGTTCTCAAGGGGTTATGGAAGCTACTGCTCAGATGTTTAGCTCTGGCCTAGTCAGCACCAATAATCATTTAAAGCTTTAAAAGTTGAATTTTGATTGGAAAAGTAGAGCGAAAATAATCTACAGAAAGAGGGATTTCAGCAATTTGTTTTAAAAACACATATTACCTTTACAAAGGTCTGTGCATGTGAGACAGTTTGTGAGAGGGGCTGGTCAGACAGTTAGTGTGTGTGTGGGGGGGTGGCTGGTCAGACAGCAGAGAGGGGGACAGTCTTGTGATGCTTTGAAAACAAAATCAAAACATTCACGTTTCACAGTCTATATCCATAGTTTGTATAGTATAGGGTGAGTCCGTATGAAATCAGCCGTTTTCAAGGAATCTCCCCTAGGAGCTGTAGATAGTATTGATGAAAACTGATCAAAGGCAAATTACAACTGGAATACCTATTAAATCACAAAGTCTCTGATTCTATAACCATGACTTTCAGTATCACCATATGTAAATTGTTTTTGCACAAAAATATTACAAGAAGGCAGTAACATTAACAAGAAAAAATTTGATAATGACACCAAAGTTACCAAAATACAGTCATCTAGTCTGTTATTTATTCATCGGCTAGAAATCACATTTTAAAAATTCAGTGTGAAAAACAACCTCAGCGGAAAATACCTCCATGTAGATCATGTGTGTTGGGATCTTACACACTAAGTGTTCCTAACTACTAAAGAACTTCAGATGTAATGTTTGGATCCTGTCATAATCTGCAGTATCAAGACGATAATTCCGTGCTCTTCTTTCCTGAACTTCTGGAACCTTAATACAACAGATTCTGTGTTAAAATGGGACCAACATGTTTCTGTCAATGTTCAGGAGGCCACATGAAGGTTCTGTCATCTCCAGTCAATAATCTCACATAGACATCACAGTGTTCATCTGAACACTCTGAAATATTCCCAATGAACCACCTGATGTCATAAATACATGCAGTGTATTGACCTGGTGACAGAGAGAAATCTGCACAATCTCATTGTGTATTTCAGAAACTGACACTTCAGAACATAAATGATCTTGAGATATTCTCCTCATTTCTAATTTACCATTTGACCCTGGAATGAAACTGTGGTGTGATCTAGTGCCGTTCACAGTCTTTGTCTTGCTGTAGCGCTCTTCTAGTTTCGAAGTAAGTTCATGGTTTGTAATGTCTTTAGAGCTTGTAAAAAAAATAAAACATTTTATAAATGTTTATGTTTTGTGAAGCTCACTCAAACATCTGGAGTGAAGTCAATATTTGATTGCTGTCAGTTTGTCTGAAGACTGGTCCTTGCAGTCGAGCGTTTTACTGTGCCACCAAAACCATCACAAACAATGTACCACAAATAATCTCCAATTGTCTTCACTTATAACAAGAAAATAGTGTTTAAGTCTGTTAAAGACCTTTCCGCAGGTGAAAAAGTCCCTAAGCTCCACTAAAAATGACCCATGAGAGCTCATTTTCAAAAATTCCCTTTGAAATGAAGGAAGTTAATAGTAGATGTTTTTATTACTTTAAACTAATCAGAATATGCCAAAGTTTCTCTGGTAAAAAAAATGTATTAACATCGAACTGTGTCCACATGGGGAACCAAGGCTCCAAAGAAGGGACCAAAAAGATCACATTTGGTCTGTGACCAGATTTAGGACTCTACACCATCCACATGAAAGCTCAGAAAAGTGTGAGATTGTGTCAGAAATGGTCTTTCTCTCAAATATTCAGGTTCAACAGTTAGTTTGCAAATATCTGCTTGGAGTAAATAGATCTTGGACCTCAAAAATTGAAAAAAAAAAAATTTAAAAATTGAGTGGCAACCAAATGTGAGATTTTGGGGGCCCACAGCGCCCCCCTTAATAAAGATGCTCAATATTGACAACAGATTTCGAATTTATGACCAAAAACCTATAATAATACATACAATAATTCTCAGCTTCCTAGCTCTATTTTTGATGAAGTTCTGGTCTCTCAAACATGCTTATAAATTAAGGCTTCAGAAAAAGTGAGCATGGCCTCAAAATTTCAACGGGCCATAACTCAGGAACGACTCAAGAGATTGAGCTAAAATTTGAGATTCTTTCATTTAGTGATTTTAGAAATTTAGCAACAATTTTCAGCCAAATCTGAGATGGCTCATAGGGGAGGGCGGCTGATTTCATACGGACTGACCCTCTAGTGGCATGAACCTTCAAACTGCCAGCATGAGAAGAGGTTGGATTTGTTTTCGGCCTCCACCCGCCCCTGGTCCCCACTGACCGCTGTCCCAAATCATTACAGAAGTAGTGGTCCTAAAGTAGATCTGACACAAGAACACAAGATCTGGAGAGAGGTCCCAGGGCACAGCTACAGTGTACCTTAAGCTCCTTAAGTTTGGAGGAGTAGCAGTTGTCTGACACTTTACCTGGTAGAAAAACTGTGTCACACTTCTGTTGGGTATTAACTGTAAACTGTAACAGATTTAGGTCGTCATGTTACCTTTTATTGTTTTGAAAATGCTACATTCGCTAAAGACAACGTACTAACATGTTTAATAAGTTTG